GGGGGGGGGGGGGGGGGGGGGTTTCAGGGATGCAGGGCATGTCTATAGGTCACACCTCCTCACTCCACACACACACCCAGAGATGCTCATCAAAACAGCAGCTAATCTCAGAGTTCAGATGGCTACCTAACGACAGGCCCATTTATCCATGAGCTTGCAGAGTAAGGGGGGCAACGGCAGCTGTCTGTAATAAAACAATAATGGGGGGTGAGAATCGCAGAGTGCCACCTGGATTTAGGAAACAAACCATCACTTTCACAATCCCTCTTCATCAAGTAGTAAGTGCTTTTTTTGCATCTGCGGAACCATCCAGAAGCTCCATTTGGAGGACAGCTCCCCCCACCCATGCCGTTAGTCTGCGACATAAAAAACTGCCCGCAGGTCAAAGTATGGTGACGGTAAAGCCACGGCGGCCGCCACTTTGACTCCGGGCCGGACGGCTCCGCTCTGAATCAGTTTGCTAGCAGATTTTCGGTGCTGACTCAGGGGTGCGGATCTGGCCAGAAGGACAGATAGGAGGCCCGGCGAGGATCTGACTGTGAGAGGTAAAGAGCACCACCCACGGTCCCTCTGGCAAGATCTCTCTTGGCGAGGACAATCTGAGACCTTCTCAATAGGTACTAACCGATATTTATGAATAAATTAGTTTCTGCCATAGGAGCACTCATCCGCTAGTGAGTTACTAGAAATGATTCAAACCAGATATGTAACAAATACCTCTGACTACTTCAGGAAGCTGAACTCTAATAATCCAGGATAATACAAAGTCAGGTTTTACGGGCTTCTAATCTTCCAAACAAGACTCTAACAAGGCCAGCAAACATCAACAGTTGCAACTATCACCAAAATTTACCTATGAATGAATCAGTTTTTTTTTACACTTCGGAGCTGTTTGAAATCAGAGTATTGTGCCAACTTAGCAACAAAACATTTTCCAGCCAAATGCAGAAGCTTGTCAAAAGTTGGCTGTAACTGGACATCTTGGGCATGATGCCTAAGAGGACCGCATGATTCAGGGGTGTTAAAGGTACGTTCTCAATGATGGACACGTGCCCCAGCTGACACAGCAGTAGTTTGTCTCTAACTCAGGAAGTGATCCCGCCTTTCTCCCTCCTCTGAGCATGAGGCTACCCGTCGATCAATGAAGTTCTCACGCAGGTCATCGGAGGCACCTGCAACAGGAAGAGGTGGGCTTCAGGGGCTGATCGGGTGCAGGTTGGGTGGGAGGCTGTATGACAAGGGGGACCATCCCGTTCTGTGTGCATCTCTCTGGTCACGTGACCAACACCATGGCTGTTGGTCTTTGACTTTGAAGAGGGGGGCAGGACCGTCATAAAGGGGGGAAGTTAGGACGATATCAAGGGCCCCTGAGTGTAAAAATCTGCAACATAATTGGACTGGTGTGGTTTGGGGGTCCAATATGATATGCTTTTATGGGGTTCAAAATCTCTAGCAGCGTCGCTGTGGTCGAACACAGACAACACTAACAAAGGGGGCTACAAACACTGGGGTGGGGGAACGAGAGAAACACGACTGTAGAAGTGTGAGTGAGCAGGTCTGGAAGGCAGCATCTGTGTAATTGTCAGCAGTCATATCTTAATATTCCTTAACAAACTGTAACACTTCCTCATTTTTCATTCACATTTCATTAACCTTTCTTGTTTCTTTATGTAACCCCCCTAGAATTTTCCCCTCTAGACAGGCCCCCGTGGATCATAGCGGTTTGGTGCTTCTAATCAGGTTTCCTGGCTTAATTACCCATGAACGCACTGGTTTTTTGTTAAATAGAAAATTGAACCAGTAAATCATATTTAAATATATCACCATGCGTATTTACATGGCTCTAGCAAAACATCTCAGCCGTGCTCTGCTCCATTATGGTTCTTAACAAAGGAAAATGGCTCTCCAGCTCCTGACAGCCAGGAGTGGAAACAATAGGTCTGTTCGCCACTCCTCATGCAGAAATCCAGCAGAATCCAGTGCGGGACATCCACTGTGGGAACGCTGTATAGCCAGCTCACTTCAGCCGCAATCAGCTACTGCTATTACCCATTGTGATCAAAGGGGTGATCAGTCAGAATATTAACTGTTCCAAATATCTGTTCAGTATTAACTTCAAAAAGCTTCACAAAATAATGACGATCTTACAAAACCTATCAAAAGGGGCAGGAAACAGAGACTGGAGGCTTGAATATTTATTATTACACTCACACACACTTAAAGGCGTATCACAATATGTATATAACATGAAGGAACAGCCACTCTACACCTGTTAGCCCACACCTTTCCAGTAATGGGGCTACAGCTATGAGATTAAAAACTACACCCTACTAAGTGGATGGGATTCTGAGGGCCTGGCTTAAAGGACTGCCCCATACCAGACACAGAACACAAGCAGGTTCTACTGCCACATGTCAGTCAAGCAAAGGGGTTGGTGGAGACACGTGTACTGGGATCAAATGAAAAAAGAGGAACACTGAACATAAAACATTTAAAGCACAAAATGAGCAAAGCAGAATGGAGGGAGCACAAATTCTTTGATAATATGTAGTATAAAGATGCAGCTTTTCCTGGACACACCTTTAAAAAGGAGATGGCTGGGTCAACCCAACACCATGTAGGAAAAATTGACAATCTGCCAATGAAGAATATATATGATCCCTTTGATCTATGATTCTTCATTTCAATCACTTATTTGTCTCTTGATAAGAGTGCCTGATCTGGCTTACCATTGGACATAATTTGCTATATTCTTCAGACACTTCTGCAAAAATTTCAAAGCTTGCTCCCAGGACATGAGGTCTGTGACAAAAAGGTCTTTGAGAAGATGACCGGATGGACACGGAGAGCCCTGACAGACACAGCAAAGACAAAGAAACGAGTGGAAAGAAATGTACAGAATGAAAGAGTTCTGGAAAAAAAAACAAGGAGAGATTAACCTATAACTAGAAACTGTCATGAGACGAGAGAATACTTCACACGGAAAGAGAAAGGCGAGAGGAGGAAGATGAGATGCTTTTGATGTGTAGGGAGAAGGCCGGGGGGGGGGACAATGTCTCCAAAACTGAAGGGACTTCTCCCTTTAGTATCCATTCACCTCCAGGAGAATCCTCCCCCAGGGAATCCGATAAGCAGTGGAACTGGAGTCTTACTCATACAGACCATCAGACCCTCCTCCGGAACACACAGGGAAACTTCAGGCTCCCTCGGAAACCCCAGTAGTACCGCCAATCCAAGGCATCCGGCTGGTAAACTGCTGTTTCCAGTGCCGTTGTTACAGGTTTTGGGATAATTACCGCCAAACTGCGACTCCCAGATCACAAAGGAACCTTGAGGACAGAACTGTAACAAAGCACGTCCACGACAGGAGGACCGGGATGTGCGTGTACTGCACCTTGGGTGATTTTACACAGGAGAAATTTGCAAAACAGCCCAAAAAAAATGTGGAGTGGCTTAATGAGCGAGGGGGTGGGCTTGGGCATCCTGGATTGAACAGAACGTCTCTGATATCTGTCTTCTTAATGGCTACATAACGTCCACATCACAGGTGCTAGGAGTAACATCATGCTGGACATAAATCAGACCGACAATTTTCACGCTGGAGTTTGTCTAGGATACATCTCCATCGGTCTTTTTCATGGTACTGAAATATTTGTATGTTCAGAAGTTCAGGATGGAAAAGTCACACTGCATCTTTATGCTACAAGGAATGGATGGGGAAGAGAAAGACTGAGTACCTTTCGTCTTTGTTGTGTGTGGAATTGGCATCAGTGATATCCAAGCTTTTACTGAACACGGCCTTACTACAGCGGGAGACAAAGCAACAGACAGTCAGTCACAACCCGGCCGTTTCCACAGCATCACCTGCCTCTCGAGGTCCCCACACTGGCCACTGGATTCCGCTAATGTCTCACAAGCTGCCTCAGCCACTACATGCCACAGCTGACCTGAGATCGGTGACCTTAGTTGTTGTGTTAGTCAGTGTAGATCCTTTGCATCGCCCAGAGCAGTATTTCCCAACCCGATCCTCAGGGACCACAGACAGTCAACAGTTTTTGCTCAATCCTAGCTCTATACTGGGAGCTGGGAGGGAAGAAAAACATGGACTGTCTGGGGATCCCCAAGGACCAGGTTAGTAAACACCACCCCAGAGGACAGATGACATGTCAATGTGAGAACATCATCTGGACCAGATGCCATCAGGCTGAGCTGATATCTAAATCGCAGGCTTGGCAGAAATCATGGCTCCCAGACATATTACTGAGGGGAATGCATTACTGACTTTAAGGATAAGACATCACTGGCCAGCTTTACTGCAGACCCAACAACTGTGAATATAATTGACTGAATTCCAACAGTTTCCAGCTCTCGATTCAGTTCACACACAGACTCAGAAGACTAATATCGAGCTAGCATTTCACCTGTGTTCTGAAGTGTGCAAAGCACTATTCTGTCACTTTGCTGGTACTGAAAACACAATATAATGCATTAAGCTTTTCCCATGTCTGCCCAGAGGTTAAGTTAATGAATAACTGCAGTAGGTGAAGTCAGTTTTCAGAGAAGATCAATGAACATTTATTGCTAGTATAAGTCAAAGTAATGACTTCATGATGACCTGCTTTATTGGTTTTCTTTCATGTACGCTTATCAGTTTTGTCATTTCCAAAGAATGCTAGTTAATGGCACCCACCAAGACCTTCTGAGCACATGCCCACCAACCAACATCTGGAGGTGAAGAACATGAATGCAACATGATACTGAGATCCCTCATCACAGTCAGACAGAACAGACCAGAGACCATAACTACACTCAGTTTCTGGGACTGTAAAAATGATGAAGACTAATGTTATTATAAAATGGAAATAAAATAGAGGAGGTTAAGTAATCTGAATTCTCTCCACTGTACAGCCCTGCCCACTGCTACATCCAAACTGGTATTTCACAATCTCACCCCTATTCACCTGCCTAAATCCAGTCCCACCCCTCTCCAAACTGGTACGTCCCAGTACCACTTCTAGCCACATGGCCCAGCCCAGTTCCACCCTCATTCACCTGGTCCCGCCCAGTCCAACCAGTCTCCAATAAATTCCAGTCTTAAACAACTGGACATATTCATTTAGCAACTCCATACAGAACAAGCGCACACCATGAAAATACTTTTTTTTTCTCGTAATAAATTCACCATAACTGTTTAATTGCAGAAACGGTTCAAAAACTCCAGACACTAGCAGCATGCATGAGGCTCCAAGGCTGCCTTTATTAATTGTGAACTGGAGGCAAGGTCTGTGATGCCGGGAAGAGCGGACAGCAGGTGGCAGCGTATTAAACAGGGGCCAGCAGGCAGGTGGAGGGCTGCGGGTGGCTTCCCATCAATCAGCTCTCCGATGCAGAGGAGTTTGGGCCTTTTCTGACACAGGGTCATTTTAATGAATAAATCAAACAGGCGTGTCGTTAATGGTGGAAGAGGCTGTGGGCGGAGGCACAGGAAATAGCGCACAGGAGGATGTGCCCCGTCTCGTCACTCAGAACGGCTTAATGCACACTGCTCAGCCTGGGGGAAAGAACCCGCTCAGATAAGTTATAGGAAACACGCATCTCAGGACACCAGACTTGTGTATAATAATGAGGGAGACACAAATTCCATCTTCTAATTAGCTTAATTCTAAATAAATACCCAGCCAAACAGGATTTTCAGCTTAGCCACATATAAAAAGTGACTCACTCAAGCAAAATGTGTCCATTCTAAATGCAGGGGGAGGCCTATTAGATCATCATAATGACAGCATAAACAGAAGCTAAAAACAGAAATATCTTGGCAGTTTAACGCCCCCCCCCCCATACACTGTACATCTGTGTATAGAAATGCTTTTTCCACCCGCTTTATAGATTGCGTTCGAAAGGATGACTCCGTGCTCGAGGTGGGGAGGGTCGCCGATTTGAATCCCATGGCTGGCAGAGTTCCCTTCGCCCCTTAACCCCAAAGCCTGCTCCAGGGGTGCGGGACAAACAGCTGACCCAGTGCTCTGACCTCAAGCGTCACGCTCACCTCTACGTGTGTCTTATAGGGGGGACTATTAGGTTATTATGATGCAGGGATGCAGATGTGTTGTGTGGTATGGTGGGGGGGGGGTACCTCTGCCCGTGCTGTGCCATGTCAATGGCCCGCCTCGCCGGCACCGGTGACCCGCCGTCCGTCACGCTGAGCACCTCCATGGACTTGCGCTCCGGTCTCCTCTTGCCGTGCCGGTTCAGCATGGGCGAGTCCACGCGCTTCCTGGGGGGGTCTGTGGGAGTGGGTGTTCAGTAAATCATCCATTGCAGATGGAGGACGCACGATTCATCACTGAGCTGAGTGAGTGGTCTGCCTGAAGGCCTGGCGTTTCCTCCAGGGCAGACAGAGATTTAACCGTCTGCCCAAGCTTGTCATTAGAACAACTGTCATGTCTAAATAATGACCTGTACGGCAACATCAAATATAACAATACATACAACAATAATTACAGACTCGCTGATCTAAATAATGCTTTATTATTGGACAGATAAACCCCCCCAGTCAAGACGGCAACAGTCACAGTGAATCCTCATTCCTACCACTACATGATGCTTAGAAAGTGAGTTTGCTGGCATCTCCACCTTCTGAAACCAGAAGGGTCCCACCAAAGCTGTGGGAGTAGATTACTTGTGTCTATATAATGACCAGAAAACATTCCTCTCCAGCAAACTCCCCAGTAATGAACTTTGCATATGACAATTAAATCCTTATATCTCTTTGCAAAGTGTTCCTGAGGGATGGGCATACCTATTTCATTGCGTGGGGGTAGGTTTTGGTCCTCGTGGCTGGGGTACCTCTCCTTACGATCCAGAAGGAGAAAGTAGATCATCTTCTCCTGGTTGTCACTAAGATCAATGAGAGAATTGACAGAGCTTTCCACACAGCCAGACCTTCTTCAGACATCAGACAAAAAGGTTGAACCTTCTTAGCCACATTGATAACCATCAGATCGCATGCAGCTGGAAAGACGTTAGGTGATGACTGTAAACTAATGAGATGGCCATAATCAGAATGGGAGAGAAAGGAGCTGCATGATTTGTAATGTCAGCTAAAACCTATGAGTGATATGCCACCCCCCTGCCCCCCCGTCAGCTAACTACAGCATTTCTTAATGATAATGGAAAGAGCTACAATACCAGGTGCCTCAGAAAAGCCACTACAGACCATCCATCACTGGCAGTAACAAGGACCACAGATGAAATGTACTGATGGTAATTGTGCTATTTTTGCGATGAAGGATAGGCACTGCTATGGAGAATCGTTCCACGGCTGCTTCCCTGGGCCACCGTTCAGCTAATAAACAAAAACAAAAGCAAACAGCGGCAGGAAGATTCCTGCATTCAGGTTCAGATGATGACATAGCATGGGACCCCCACGGTGTTACTCAACCCATTCCTCACGAACCTCCACACTGTCCGTATTTTTGCTCTCTCCCTGCTGGTAGTACACCTGAACCAAACAATCAAGCAATTAATACCTGGTACAGGTGTGTTGGGAACTGGGAGGGAGCAAAAATGTGGACTAACTGAGCATCCAGTGTAAGAATCACTGGTTAATTGCCAATAGGTGAAATGAGTGAACCTTGGGCCCTGCCATTGTTGATGTACTTTGGTTCAGGGGAAAAGCCAAATTCAAGCAGGGCACTAGAGGGACAGAGGGCATTCTTCAAGTCACCCCGCAAACACCACATCTTATCACTCACTCTTCTGAAAGCAGATCCTTCATCAGCTTGTTCTTGTCCCGGAAGCAGCCCAACGAGTGCATGCTCTCCAGCACATCGGGGTCGATGTCTTCGGCTGAGGGCAGCGTGCGGATGGCGACCTTCCGAGGAATGGGCTGCTCTGGCTCTGGCTCATTCTTGCCCCCTCTGGCAGGAGGACCAAACGACACGCAAGGCATTCAGCACCGCTAACGAGGATTTCCCGCTTTTGGCTTGTATCACCCTTACTTCAAGAGAAAAAAAAATCCTGCAGACTGAACTTTAAACAGATGACAATTTTATAGCAATGATATTTATAGCATTCAGTTTACCCTTGTCCCATTTATACATATTATATTTTAACAAAATCAAACTGGGTTAAGTACTTTGCTATAAGGCACAACAAGAGACCCCTAAGGAGTTTAAATGACAACCTTCCTGGTTAGAAAGCCTACGCCCCCAATCACCCAGCCACACTCCACATAATATAAAAAGAATTTGTATTTTATGTGGCCTTGATCCCGGGACCTAGACCACAGCTGGCTGCCTAGACAAGGTTATTTACTTATGTTTCAGTATCATAATCAGGCGGCGGAAAGGTGGAGATTGGGTGGCAGCGGGACACAGTTTGCCCTCACGCGGGAGGTCCTGGACTTCTCACTCCACACCTCATCATCTGCTGTGTTATTATTCTGGCCGGCTGCTCCCCAGGCCTGCCCTCAGGGTCGCCCCCCCCCCCCCCGCTATCCCACGTGCCTCCTCGCTTCCTCCTCGGCCAGCTCATCAACAGTTCGGCGGTAACCCCATTATTTGAATCAGGCAGGGTGGCAGTGCAGTTGAACGAATGTCCGGGGGGGTAGAGTAGGGGCCCCTGAGGGAGCCACTGGGTGGGACTGTAAAATAACTCAATTTACGATGTTGGTTTTTTTCGTTGCTGTTGTGATTATTAACTTTTATTTCATCTCTTGGTTTGAACTTTCATCAAGAGCTACTTCCATCTATCACCTAGTTTCAGCTTTATAGTTTGCACTTGTTTTACCTAATCAAGTCTGTAGTGGACCATCTACTTTCCTGTGAATTAAAGAGCCAGAAATATTTACTGGGAGCCCCATGTGACAATTGTCCCCATAGTCTTTTAATGGAAGTCACACAACAGTATGCAAAGCAACATCAGTTTCCTCATGCCACAAGGCGTGGCTAACTCCTCAGGCTCCTCGGTGATTGGTCTCCATCCTGCCGTGCCATTTTTACTCATCCAATGACATAACCAATCCTGAGTACCCCCCCCCCCCCTCCACCCCGTTTCCCTGAGCCCGACGAGAAGCCAGCCATACTTACATGTACCACGTATGCTTCTGGATCTGTTCTAACTGTATGGACGGGAAGCAGGGAGAGGAGGGCAAAGACACAGAGAGTGGAGAGGTTAACAGGGGCAAGCGATGTGGGCCACAACAGAACCGAAAGGAACAGGAACGACACAGAAAAGCAGCCGACATTCACTGGGCTGAGCGTGTGACGCATTACCCTCTGACTCACCCGGGACAGAAAAAGGCAAAACGGCAGGGGAAAGATAAACGCCACGGTGAAAAAGCCATGGGACATGTTGGTCTTTGTCTCCCATACAGGAGCAGAAGAATGTTCCGGGCCTGAGTCGCAGGAGATAAGGGCCACAGCCGGGAACTGGGCAGAGACATTGGAGCCGGAGTGCTATCGGGGGATTCGCCGCCGCTTCAGGGCCCCGGCGAGTTGCGGTCCCACCTATCTGTCTCTGCACACTGCCCCTGTCCTGCTAAAATCCTGCTGTTGTGAGACTCTGAGTTCCATCCTCTGTGCCTACCACAGCCGGATCTGTGGCTCCTGCCAGCACTGTGCACTCTTGTGGGCTCAGATTGGGGAATGGGAAGGGGGGGGGAGGTGGGTTTAGAATGACTGTCCTCAGAGCCAATTACTCCAGTGGTCCGTACAGGGAGACCTCAAACAATTACCAATCAATGCAAATTGGATATACTAGATGCTTAGTGCGGTTACTGCTGACAGATTTAAGGGAATGGTGGCATGAAAGGAGAGAGCTTCTTCCGACCTTTGACCTTCATTGGGGACGGAGGTCACCAGGCATCCTCCACATCCATAAGGGAAATCCCATTCAGGCTCCTTATTATCGGCACGAGGAAATAATTACGCAGCAAACCAATCAGGAAGGGTGCGGAGAAACGGCTGCCACCTTCAGACCGAGGGTTAGCAGAGCAATGATGCTCAGAGCAACCAGTTGCGACTGCACTGTAAAGGGGAAGCCCCCATCTCCACAAACTCCCCCATGCCTTTTTCTGTCCCTTTTTGTCTCAAAGGTTCACATTCCCAGCCCCAATCCCCCTCCCCCCTCTTGAGGTGACATGAGCGATACTGAAGCCTTTTGCTCGATCCCGAGCCGCCACGTGCTGGAGTAATTTAGCGCGATGCGCTGAATTGAACCGATCAATCAATTTCATTTACGCAGCTGCTCTCGACATGGACAGAGCAAAGGACCAATGAATTCCTGAAGCACGCTCCTGTGCTTCTATCCAGCGGCCACTGGGGGCACCTGAGAGCTTTTAAAAAAAGATACACACGCACACACAGGCAAACCTGCACACACGACTGAGAAATCAGAGTGATTAGTGGGCTTAAGGGAGCAGTTCTCTTTCATCAAGGACGTTTATTCTTTCATTGATGGAAGCGTGAGATAAAAGGTCTCTTGTTTTGCCCGCCCTCGCCCGTGCGCCGGTGCCGGTGCCATTTGCACTGAGGATGGGCGCCTGGGTCTGGCCCTCCGGATTCCACAGGGAGTCCCAAAATGAGCCCCTTCATGACCACCTTCCAGTGACCGCTGGGCACCTCTCAGAGAGATCCAAAAATGCCTCCAGTGCCATAAGAGGATGGAGCAGACATCCTCCCTGGGGGGGGGGGGGGGGGTGATGGAGGTATATCCTGCTGTACTCCAGGACTAGGCCAGGCGGGCAATGGTAATGGGGGAAGAATCACATTTCAAGGAGTTCCAGGTCTTGTTTGGAGAGCGGTTGCCATGGCAATCAATGATCTACTTACGGCGAGCCTGTGCCGTGTAAATGAGAGCGAGATTTTAGAAGCAGGCTTACTAAATTTAGAATCCAAATTAATTCATTAGTCATAAACGAATGGTTGCGTTTGAAAATTTCATCTGCATCTCTGTGATTTATTAGAGAGGGATAATCACAGCACCAAAACCACCACGGTCGAGTATATTTTGAAATGTCGTGGGTTTTTGCTCGTGCTACGCCGCTTGGAAGCATCTGTCTCCTGGAGAGGGAGGAGTCTGAGGTGCATTATATCGGATGCGCTGCTACGCTATTAAAGCTGCAGGCCGTTTGTGCCCATTGTAGATCTGTTAGAAGGGCCCAGCTGTGAAGTTGAATGACACTAGGATCCAGCGGCACCAAGTCATGTTGGAGTGGTTGGGACTGGGGGCTAGGGGGCAGCAGGGCTAGAGTGTAGTGTAAGAGGCGAAGGGAGGGGTTGGTGGTTACTTGAGGTCAGCAGGTAGAACATCCATTTACAGCTGTATAGAGGTCAAAGGTCAGGCACTCACAAGCATAGCCAGAAGTCAGAGGGCAACCCTTTGTGTTGCAAGCAGAGTAATACTGCAAACAAGATGCCAGCAGACACAGCGGATGCCAGGCTGGGTCTCCTCCTCCTGATATCATGTCACATCCTTCTGGGGGCTGCACAGCGACTTGAGGTCTTGTATCATAACCATGCCTGGTGCTCAATGGAAAGTAGATCTGAACAAGTCCAGGTTTTTTTTTTTTTTTTTTTTTTGGGGGGGGGGGGGGGGGGGTTGCAATGGGTCAGACTGGCCGTCTCACAGCCCATTACATTTACTTTTCTGAGGAATTATGGAAACGAAGAGTTAGACACGACCAGCCTGCCCCAGCGTGAAGTTTCCTCAGCGCAGCCTTGCTCTGGCTCACAGACTCGCCAAGTTCCGTTTGTCCAAGGGCAGCAAATCCTCAACTGTCACCGTCTGCCCGGAGTAGAGGATCTGGCCCAGGGCAAGGAGACAGAGGCTGCGTCCTGTTCTGCAGGCGCCCAGGTGAGAGGGACAGAGGGCATCTGCATCATGTTCTTATGTTCTCATCCCATAAACAACACATGCTCTGAGCTTAGGGAGGATGGTCGTCATTTGTGTTTGCCTTGCTCTGCCTTTCCATTCTCCTTGGATTACTATACATTTGCCATGGCACAGCTCACATGTGAAGATCAAGCAGGCCACGGTTGGTAGAAAGACACCCAGAAGCTCAGAGGAAGAAGATAAAGGAAGATAAAGACCATGAGGGTAACCTGGAAGATGACCGACAGTGACCCCTGTAGGCCGGTTGGGTGTGTTAGCCTTGAATAATAAGAATGTCTTCAAAGAGTTTAGCAAATATTAGCAAGTATTAGAATCTCAAATGCTATCCATCCATCATCCAAAAGAGCTTATCCAGGGGAGGATCGAAGTCAGCTTGAGGCCTGTCCCAGGAAAGGGGACGAAGCAAGAGATGGGATGTGACATCATCGTAGGGCAGCCACTTTGAGAAATTTAGGGTAGAGAACATGCGACATCCGCACAGTGGGATTATAACCCCCAATATTCAAGGTGTGAGACAATGCAAACCATAAACCCAACATTGCTGATCTCAAAATACATTACAGTTCCAGTGACAAGTCTGCAGACACATATAGTTTGGCATTCAGACGTTGGATGCTAAGAGACCCAAGGGGCTTGATGATGGGGCATGAAAGCAGGTCTGACCGTTAGCCGCTTGGTGGCGTCCACCTCGATCATGCCTCTGAGCAGGTTCTGACAGTCCGGCGGGATGAAGTGTGGCATGTGGAAAACGCCCAGCTTCACCTTCTCCAGCAGGTTCCTCAAGTTGTCGTCGTCGAACGGCAGGGCGCCCTGGAGGACAGACCGAGACAAGGGAGGGACAGGGAGATGGAGAAAGAGAGGGGGAGAGAGAGGGAGATAGAGAGAGAGAGAAGTATAAGATAGGAAGAAGGGGGAGTTACAAGAGGAAAAAGAAATAAAAGCAGAGGGGAAAAAATGGGTTAGATAAAGATAGTATTTATACATTTGAATAAAATAGACATTGAAGAGAGGGATGGGTAAACAAAACAAAGCAAACTGTTTAAGATGCATAACAACATTTATAGATCTTTTAAAAGGTTTTTTGTTTACAAGCCATCTTCATTAAGAGCAGCGTTTTTACTTCAAATAATAATAATAATAAAAAAAAGCAGCAGAGGGCAGCTTTAGTGATAATGATCTCCATCTCTGCCTGTTCATTATCATTCTCCTGTCAGAGTTTATCAGCACCTCCCTGAAACAAGGCCGAGCCCGAGCCCGGAAAGGCAGGATTCCAGGTGTCTCCCTGTAAGCGGAGCCCAACTGCAAGGGAGTGAAGGCATCGGATATGGTGGGTGGAAGGCAGAGAGAGGTGCTTTAAAAAGCAAATCTGTGTGTACCGGAGAAACCAAAATAAGCCCACCTCAGCATGAGAAAAGGTACCTGACTTCTTTCAAAGTAAATCCTGTTTACTGAATCTACTGGTGGGGGAACAAAGTTTTTAGATACAAGAAAAGCACCACAGGCGGCGATGGTGAAAGGCTGCGGCCTTCCGGTGAAAGCTGGGTTGTGCAGTGTGCACGGCCACGTCAGGCTGCGTATTTATTTTCCCCTCCCAGCCTGCTTTGCGGCCACGTGCTGTATGTTCACAGCCATAAATAGGAGGGCGACAGGAAACAGGAGCTGATTATGCTGGGGTAGCAGGAAACTAACGGGCAACAGAAGTGCCATGTGAAAGGGTTATAGGCCCCGCCCCCTCTGGAAATGAGGAAGCACATTAAAAGTAGATAGTCGCTCCATGAACATGACATCATCTATCTCACGGTTCCATCACCACAGTAACCTACTTCTCCAGATACAGCTCTAAAAGAGCTGCAAAGGGCTTCAAATTCAGCCCAATTTAATTACACGACAAATCAGTAGCCGGTGTTCTGCAAACAGCATGCTGGGAAATGGCCCGCAAATCATGTAAATAAACAGCCGTCCCTGCATCCGTCACCCAACCACTTATCTTGGACAAAGTCACAGGTGGCCTGGAGCCTGTCCCAGACGGTACACCTCAGATGGGATGCCAGTCCATCACTAGGCACACACACCCAATCATGCACTACAGGCAATTTAGAGACACCAATTAGTACATGGCTCAGGAGGAAACCAGAGGACCCTGGAGGAGACATGCAAATAGAAGCAAAATGGGATTTGAACAGGTGAGGCAACAGAGGTACCCACTGAACCCCCCATTAAAACCCCTTCCTCCTGTTCCACCTCATCAAGACCAATTCCACACATTGACTTCATTAATCTAAAGTACGCTTTGATCTCTCCACAACGGCGATGTTACTTAAGCCAGTTGGTCACAGAGAATGTTTTCCTCCACCTGTATGGAAACCTAGCAACATTATCACCAATGATGGTTAGTAAGCAAGGAAGTGAAATTCACAGGCTTCAGTGAGGTAGAGATAGAGGCCCCTGTGAGATAGAGCATAGAGGCCCCTGTGAGATAGAGCATAGAGGCCCCTGTGAGGTAGGGGATAGAGGCCCCGGTGAGGTAGGAGATAGAGGCCCCTGTGAGGTAGGGGACAGAAGCCCCGGTGGGGTAGGGGATAGAGGCCCCTGAGAGGTAGGGGACAGAGGCCCCTGTGAGGTACTGTAGGAGACAGAGACCCCTGTGAGGTAGGGGACAGAGACCCCTGTGAGGTAGGGGACAGAGGCCCCGGTGAGGTAGGGGATAGAGGCCCCTGTGAGGTAGGGGACAGAGGCCCCTGTGAGGTAGGGGACAGAGGCCCCTGTGAGGTAGGGGACAGAGGCCCCGGTGAGGTAGGGGACAGAAGCCCCGGTGGGGTAGGGGACAGAAGCCCCGGTGGGGTAGGGGATAGAGACCCCTGTGAGGTAGGGGACAGAGGCCCCGGGGAGGTAGGGGACAGAAGCCCCGGTGGGGTAGGGGCTAGAGGCCCCTGTGAGGTAGGGGACAGAGGCCCCGGTGAGGTAGGGGACAGAGGCCCCGGTGAGGTAGGGGACAGAAACCCTGGTGGGGTAGGGGATAGAGGCCCCGGTGAGGTAGGGGATAGAGGCCCTTGTGAGGTAGGGGACAGAGGCCCCGGTGAGGTAGGGGATAGAGGCCCCTGTGAGGTAGGGGACAGAGGCCCCGGTGAGGTAGGAGATAGAGGTCCCTGTGAGGTAGGGGACAGAGGCCCCTGTGATGTTGGGGATAGAGGCCCCTGTGATGTTGGGGACAGAGGCCCCTGTGATGTTGGGGACAGAGGCCCCGGTGAGGTAGGGGACAGAAGCCCCGGTGAAGTAGGGGATAGAGGCCCCTGTGAGGTAGGGGACAGAGGCCCCAGTGAGGTAGGGGATAGAGACCCCTGTGAGGTAGGGGACAGAGGCCCGGTGGGGTAGGGGACAGAAGCCCCGGTGAGGTAGGGGACAGAAGCCCCAGTGGGGTAGGGGCTAGAGGCCCCTGTGAGGTAGGGGACAGAGTCCCCGGTGAGGTAGGGGATAGAGGCCCCGGTGAGGTAGGGGATAGAGGCCCCTGTGAGGTAGGGGATAGAGGCCCCGGTGAGGTAGAGCATAGAGGCTCTGGTGAGGTAGGGGATAGAGACCCTTGTGAGGTATGGGACAGAGGCCCCGGTGAGGTAGGGGACAGAGGCCCCGGTGAGGTAGGGGATAGAGGCCCTGTTAGGTAGGGGATAGAGGCCCCGGTGAGGTAGGGGATAGAGGCCCCAGTGAGGAAGGGGACAGAGGCCCCAGTGAGGAAGGGGACAGAGGCCCCAGTGAGGTAGGGGATAGAGGCCCCTGTGAGGTAGGGGACAGAAGCCCCGGTGGGGTAGGGGATAGAGGCCAATGTGAGGTAGGGGACAGAGGCCCCGGTGAGGTAGGGGACAGAAGCCCCAGTGAAGTAGGAGATAGAGGCCCCAGTGAAATAGGAGATAGAGGCCCCTGTGAGGTAGGGGACAGAAGCCCCAGTGAAGTAGGAGATAGAGGCCCCTGTGAGGTAGGGGACAGAGGCCCCTGTGAGGTAGGGGTTAAAGTCCCTTACTGAGTGGTTGAAGACCCGTGTTTTTGGTGATGTTATTACCTAATTAATTTGTTTGTTTATTTGTTTGTTTGCTTCTTTTAACTGTCTGTAAAGCACTTTGTAAACACTGTGGTTTAAAAACATTGCAGTATAAATAAAGATTGATTGATTGAACTAAGGAAAAAAAAAATCACCATAATGAATTAATTTAACTAACAAATCGACAGCATCCCACTAACACAGAAAGCCCCGTTCAATAAGCTAAATGTACTCAGCAGAGCCACGCAGCCTACGGTCCCAAGGCTAATGTGATCCTGCAGATATTAGATTTCTTCAGCACTAATAAACAAAAGTTAGGATGCTGTTTGGGAAGCGCATCCGTTACAGTGACAAGCACACCTCGTATCGGAAGGAGCAGTCATCTCCCTCTCTCCCAAACTTTTACTAGTATTACTGCTGTGGTAAACTCCGGATGGTGTGCGACCCATGAAATATGGATAGGCCTGTCTGTGGCTTGTCCCAAAATAACACCCGCGAGAGCTCCTTTAAGGATTTCCCTCATAAAAACCACCCGTAGCGCCATAACCCAACCTCAGCAGAACAGAAGGGGATTTGGGACAGAGTCATAAAGAGGAAAGGAACAACAGCTCACAAGAGGAGAATTCAAAATGTCCACGGTCCACTAAAACCAAAGCCCCCCCCCGCCACTCCTCACACCCAATAAACTGCCTGCAAATCCATGTGGAGAGGATTTGATAGTTTGGCAACTTTGGGCCCAAAAATAAAGCTTTATATCACTTTGGACTGCTTGCGGAGCAGAAACTTCACGAGAGCCCCGTCGGCAACGAGAAAAGTTTGCTGAGAAGTTTTACGGGAGAGTGAGCATCATGCAAATGGAGGAAGCTTTCCAGCGTATCCGCGCCATACTCACAGACCAGCCACAAACAGTAAGTGACACTTACAGCCACGGTACCTCACTCCCGCGGCTCAGACCATAGTGTTTAATCAATGGCCGCTCATTTGCACAAAATTAACAATTAGCAGTTAACTGAAAAGAACAATTCACCTCGGCAGGTGTGGCAACCCTCAGACAGACAGAAGGACCTTTGAGAGCAGATTCGATTAGCATCTAATGCATTGGCATGTTTTACTAGGACGTGCAGAAGTCTATGGGTTTCCTGCAACTTGCTTCTCCCATGATAGGCACAGGCCTTGAGGAAGCAGCATAAAATGCACAATAAGACTGTGTCGCTCTGGTGAGATGGGCAGCACCACTGCGATGACTGGCCCACTGCTAACAGGGCCCAGTCCACAGCATGCGGACACTCACCACTAAGAGTGCGAAGAGGATGACGCCGCAGCTCCACACATCTGCTTTCCTGCCGTCGTACTTCTCCCCCTGCCGGACAGAGTGGGAATGGCAACGATAAAGGGAGGGAGAGGAGGAGCAAGCGAAGGAGAGAACGAGAGTGAGCGGCAGAGGACGGGACAGATGGAGTGGGAAGAAGGCGGGCAGGGAGAAAGAAGCATTAAACATTAGAGGGAGTGTCCATTTCACAGTGATATTGGGAGGGGGCGTGGCCTACTCACCCTGATGACCTCTGGGCAGGCGTAGTGCGGGGATCTGTAGGGAGGGGGGAGAAAGCACAGGGACATGCATCAGGGGCTCGCCTTGGAGATCCACCGAAAACACAGATCACATCTTGGGCACCGCAGTCTAAAAAAAAACAGACCGGAACCATTTCAACTGTGCCGAAGGCAGCTGAAATGTTGAGGCATCCCAGCCAGTGGGGTGAACACCCCCTCACTGATGCCGAGGGGCTGTAAGGAGGGAACGCTACTGACAGATAGATGCCCCCCCCCCTCCGCACCCCCCTATTGCCACTTGGCATAATCTAATTGCTAAATTGGATTTTAATGGCTTCTCATATACAAAGCGTAAGCACGGCGTCCTATCGGTAACTCTTCCGAGTCGGTGACTGCTTCCAGGCGGCCGAATTCATGAATAATGATGCCAGAGGCGAGCTCCCCCCACCAGGGCACGGAGGTGCATCAACCCTGCTGCTGAATTGCGACCGCGGGTGTCATTTCGCATTATGCAAATATGCACTAGTTGCACTAGTTTAGCTGCAATGTCAAAACATGCACACACGGACCACTGGGGGAACCTCGTTTAATTTACATACCACTCGTACTTCTTCCACAGGGATCCACATCTGTTACGATCTCTAACTTTCTCACCTTTTTAATTTTATTTAATCTTCTAACAAGATAGTACGTCACTTCACAATTAAGCAGTTGACAATTTTTTTTTGTAGTCTAAAGCTTCTTCTGAGTAGACATGAGTTTGTTGTGGTTTTATGTGATTTAAGCAGAATAACAGATGGTCTTATACGAAAAGGAACACCACGCTTCACAGTTTTACCCTTGATCCATGTCCTGTGTACTACATACAGAGAGGTACAACAGAAAAGCCCATCCTGGAGGGACAGCAGAACCTTATTTCCACTGGAGAGGGAAATATTTTCTAAGACTAAATCCAACCAGACCTGCAATCAGCTTTTTCCAAAGTCTGCACCCTGGTTACACCCATTTGGGTGAGTGTTCTATAGCTGTATAATGACATTCTTTTTTATTGCCTTAAACTATGGAGCCCCATAACTGAAGACTATAAAGTGAATAAATAGGTATTTACAGATCACAGGCCTGTTTTGGCAATGCCAACTGAAATTCAGTCTGTTTCACAAAATCTTGAGGAAAGGTAATTTCCCGATTTTGTTTTAGACCTTCAAAAGCACAAGTACCATGTGTCGCTGGGGTCTAATGGCTGGGGAGGGGTAGTGGCCTATTCAGCGATACGCCACTGTGTTGTGGGGGGTGGGGGTGCCAGGACTGTTTGATTGCCCTATTGTGATTGGTGGAAAATGACGCTGCTCCCCCTGCTGGGAACCCAGAATGTAAGAGAATGTGACCCTTTAAGTGTGAGAAGGACTAGCAGGACAAATGCATCCATCCGAACCGCTTATCTAGTACAGGGTCAAAGTGACCCTGGAGGCAGCACAGGGTGGAGGCCGAGGACGGGATTCCAGTCCATCACAAGGTGCAAACTCACGTGCTATGTGGAATTCCGTGATTCCAGTCCATCACAAGGTGCAAACTCACGTGCTATGTGGAATTCCGTGATTCCAGTCCATCACAAGGTGCAAACTCACGTGCTATGTGGAATTCCGTGATTCCAGTCCATCACAAGGTGCAAACTCACGTGCTATGTGGAATTCCGTGATTCCAGTCCATCACAAGGTGCAAACTCACGTGCTATGTGGAATTCCGTTATTCCAGTCCATCACGAGGCACAAACTCACGCGCTACGCAGAATTCTGTGATTCCAGTTCACTCAGGCCCTACTTTCAGGAAAACTGGTAGATCCAGGTTAAACCCCAGCAGCACAAGCTGGACTGTATACACTGTGGCACCGCTGTAAGACGGCATAAACACCACATCCAGCAAACTTCAACTGAGCCGAAAACATGGTTACATCAAACTTTAGCTCTATATAATATCAAGTAAGTTTACAAAGTTAAGTAAAGCAAAGTAATAACACAATATTAGAGATCTGCTTTGATGTATAAATAATTGCTTTTGAGAAACTTCAGATGCGCGCCTGAGCACAATCCTTGTGATTGAAACCCACACCCCATTAAAAACAGATTCTACATCACAACATACAAGCGGTGAGTTAATGCGAGGCATTAATAATGCCGGCAAACGACTCCGGCAGACACGGGTGCCTGGGAACAGGATTATGAGGAGCCGTGCATTAAGCGCGCAGCGCAAACTCTGCTTGCGGCATAATGAGAAAAGGTTTAGAATAAATGCAAACCGATGGGGGAAAAAAAAAAATCGCCTGTCACACGCAAGCACACACACATAGAAATAAATAAATACTCGGAGATGCCAGTGGAATTCCTGAATTCTCTGGATTTGGCACATTGATCTTGGGGGGAGGGGGTGCTGTTTACCTCCATGTTTTCCATAATGTGATGGGGAAGGGTTGGGGTGTAAATCAGAATCAGAGAAATTACTTCTGGACAGTACCGAGGATGATGTAGTGAGGCGCTACATGAGAACAGAGCAGAAAGGCTGCTCTGGAGTAGGAAGGCCAGGTGGAAATGTCCCCCACATGGGGGCGTATAAGCGTCAAGGTCCACAGAGCCCTTTGCCTTTTGGCATTTCCTGTTATGGGGAGGTACTGCTGCCCGTCTCTTCGGCGGGGTGGCATCCGAGCCGGCTTCAATCCCAAACCGAGTGTGAACGCCATCCCTGCGCCGCTATGATGCAGGCTGCAAGCAGCAGTGAATCTGCATTCTGAGACACTCAACCATTCACCCAACCAAAAAAATAAAATACATCTGCAGATCGAGAAACTAAGAGAGGGGCATAAATAATAACTAAACACTAAAAGAGCCAAAAACGTTATAATTCTTTTTTCCCACTACATCTCTTAAGTAGAAACTCAAACATCCTTTTTGTCAGGCATGAACTAGACGCCCTGGGCAACACTGTTTCCCCCTCCAAGACCCTGCTGGTGTATGTGGATGCTGTCCAGGGTGGAGAGACTGCAAAGAAGCCCCCATCCTTCCAGTTCCCTCGCTACCGGCTCCGGCTGCAAGCAGCAGTAATATCATAGGTGGCCTTTCTTTTATAGCAAAGGAATACTTTGCAAGAGAGGAGGTCACTGCTTGCAAAATGAAAAAGGTCCTTCATGTCCAGGGTCTGAAGAATCCTGTCAAGGATCGGAGAGTCGTGAAAAATTTGTGGCAAATCGGGCTGTTATGGGACGGGTACAGCAGTGAGGGCTCGTTAGGAACCAGGCCAGTTCTTGCTGGGGTGAACAAAAAACGTGTGCAAAGAATACAAAGCGTGGGTCACATAGGACGCTGGAAAGCAGCATCCGATCAGAGAGCCCTCATTCGAGGGGGTGCAGATGGTGAGGGTGGGCTGTTTACACAGGATGTGACACACTCGGCCGGGCCCAGCGGACAGCGCTGTCGATCTAAGAGCAAGATACCGGCTGCAGGCCGAGGAGGGGAAGCACATGCGCGTTAGCCGGAATGTTCTTCACAGTCACAAGGGATAATGGCACTTCATTACACAGGAGGTCAGGAAGCCGGCATTTTTTTTTTTTATGAATAACATTAGGACACAACTTGGCACAGTCAAACACAGACCAAAAGAAAACAAATGTGCCATCGCCGGTGTTAACCTGTTTCTGGTGTGTGAGCTTCAGCCGCAGGACGACGGAGAACATCAGCGAAGTCCGGCGCGGAAGGGCACCCGCGTGAGACCGCCGCCTCCCCGCCCCCCCCCCCTGTGCCGGGACCCCGCTGCCGAGCGGATCTCGGATATCATACTAGTCTCTCGCGGTAAACAGAACGCATTTGTGTCAAAGCAGCTGGAAGCCAAGGTGGGGGGGGGGGGGTGGCCTGGAGATGAATGCGTTTAATTAAAAACTGTCATGTTCGTGTTTAGAGATGGGGCAGCCAGGCATGTGGGGGTAATCAATAACCACAGCACATCCCTCCCCCCACCGCCTGCCTCCCCCCACCCCCCAGGAAAACACGGAAAACCGTGCAGCGGGAGGTGCTGCCATGGGAATAGAGGTGTGGGCTGATTACAAGGTCCCTCCCCAACACTACAAACGCGACCCTGGTCCAGGGGCCCAAGGGAAGTCGCTATACATGCTGAAAGACATTTTATGGGCTGGAAAATACTCCAGTGGGGGGGGGGGGGTTGCCACAGTATTCACTGTCCAGTCTTCTGTCCCTTGGGCACTTGGGCTCTCTACTTCATGAAGCCAGGCCCCGCCCACATCCTATTGGTTATGTCCGAGGTTAAAGGTCACCTGCTACAGGCATAAAACCTCACATCATGACTCCCATCCATCGAACAGTCTCAGAGGGGCTCTCAGACCATGACACTGCAGGTCATCTCGGGGAGAGGGCTTACGCAAATGGATCGGCCTTCTCCGTGACAATCCTGGGACGTGGCATTGCGGCCAGTCAGCAACGAGCAAGCTGCTCAGAATCAGCCCTCTGCTTACATCCTCATTTACAGCCTACCCTCTGTTTGTATTTTCTTATTTTGCAGTCTTATTTTATTGTCATATTTGTTTTTTTCTATTACGCATTTCCTTTTAAGCAGGAAGCAGATGAGATGGTATTTCACTGTACAGATATGGAGTGAATGTTTGTGCGTGTGTCAGATAAAACTAGTTTCTTTTGTGCAATACATTTAAGAGGAAATTCAGACCCCTCATACAGACATACACCCACCAGATAACCATTGAAACTTACCGCCTAGGCCTTAATTAAAGATTTCCAGCAGGTAATCTAGCCTGCAGTAAGCGATCTGCTGCTGACACCCCGTTTAAGATCTCGGGATCTGATCTAACCTGCTAATCCAGCCTCTTGCGACTGCAGAGTGATGAAATGCGATTTGCTGTCCTGATAAGATGGCAGACTTCATTTTCCCCAGCAGCTCCAGCTGAAGCCTTCGCTATCTGCTGTGTTCACCGGTGCACCTGCGTCTGCACTGGGAGGGGGGCACTATTCATTGGATCCCCTCCGACAGGGGGACGGGGGGGGGGGGGCATTTCCACATGAGGATTATAATGATAAGAACATGCTGACAGACAGCAAGGCCTAGTTTGGTGGCCTCCATATAAGGAGAGCAACCGCGCCCCCCACATACCTTCAAAGGACCAATTGACTTCAAGGAGGCTGATGATGACCCCCATACCCACCCGACACTCAATACAAACCCACCAATCACAGTTAGAGAAGATGGGAGGGCTGCCTCTATTCTAAAAGTGACCGTCTGCATTTAAATAAACAAGCAGGCAGAGCCTCGCTTCCACACACGGTGACCGAAAGCACAGTGCAGCACGGAGAGGGCAGGCCTTCATCATCCAATCCGGCCCCCACCCTCAGCTCCCGGCTCTCCCTGAAGGATGAGAACAGATCCTGATCTTTCCCGTTTATTGCATCGGAGAGACTGTAAGTGTATATGTGTGTCAAGGAACGTACTGCAAGAATGCATTATGACACAGAGACCGGGTAGGGCGGCGGACCCACTGTGCAGGGTAATCTGTGCGCGTGTGTGTGTGTGTGTGTGTGTGTGTGTGCGCTTGTGTGTATGTGTGTGCTTGTGTGTGTGTGTGTGTGCGCTTGTGTGTATGTGCGCGTGTGCATTTCTGTGTGTGTATACTTGTGTGCGTGCGTGTGCGCATGTGTGTGTGCGTTTGTGTGCACGTGTGCGTGAGACACCCGCAGCTTTAGCCTCCTCACTTTGAAGAACAAACAGAGGCATCGATACAGAGATTAGAGGGTCCTCAGCTAATTCACCACGCTGGACAGAAAGGACCTTTTAAACCATCAGCTGTTACCTCGGAAACGACGGGGAAGGCCCGGGATTAGCGGTAATTAGCAAAATTGAATATTATCTCTGAAGTTCACACCGTGAGTTAATGATAATTGAAAACACAGAGAGAACACGAAAAAGAACGTTAGCACCCTGCCCGGGCCGTCTGCGCAGACGGGCGCTGACTGCAAGCGCCGCCTCATCCTGGGACCCAGTAGGGTTAACAGGCGCCACGCGGGTAATTAAATAAATGACATTTCAGACAGGAGAATTAGTACGGCTGCAAATATTATGCATATCGGCAAAAATGGGGAGGAAAAAAATACATATAGTCTGCTGTCAAGAAGGGAAAGGCAGCTGAGTGGCACAGGACGCAATGTGCACGTTTGACACCATTTACACTGTTTGCAGCGTTTATTGCGCAGGCCTGCTCACCCACAGCTGGTCTCCAGCAGGTTGTCCCCGACCTGCAGAGAGGCCATGCCAAAGTCCGCTATCCGAATGTTGTTCTTCTCGTCCAGAAGCAGGTTCTCGGGCTTCAGGTCCCGGTGGCTGTGAGGGTTCGGGGAGGAAGGGAGAGCAGAGAATGAGGGAGGGCAGTTTTACTAAAAAGTGAGACCCGCCCCCATCCAAATGTAGGGTACTTCGTTTTATTTCAACTATGTTTATTATTTTAATGCATTTCTTAGTATGACTCAGCAGGATGGTAATACTAACAGTAATACTGCAATAATAAGATAATTACCCTGCACAAATCAAGGCCATCGCTTCAGAGCCACAATGCGACCGCAGCATTTCACAGTACGACCTCCAGCACCCAAAATGGATGAGTGAAACCCTCTTCAGCATGCTGGATGCCCCCCCCCCCCGCCATTTACTCTTCCACGGGACGTCCTCTGTCTCCAGCCATCCATCGGAGCCCGGCGACGTTCCTCAAACTAAAAGCAGGAATGTAACGTCCTCCTTCTGCCTTCCTGCAGTCCTTTGACACCCGTGTCATTCGCCACCGAGTTGGAGATGAGGGTCCACATTGGAAAGAGAGACGATCATGCCCCATTTCTACGTTAGGTGAGCTCCAGAAGTCCAGAGATGAAGTGATGTTGAAGTGATCCCTGCATTCCTCCCCTGATCTTTGTATCGAAACCACTTTACAACCCAGAACCCCAAGAACGCTCTCCGGAAGGACTGTGAGGCCAGCCGGCCTGAGGATGTGCTGCGTGAGATCGGAGTCTCTGCAGCAGGACAACGTGGGTCACCTCCTAATAGGAATGACTGCTCTTCCAGCAGCACTTAAAAGACGCACTACCATTCCCATTTAAACACCCTCCCGCTGTGTGAATGTCTGCTGAAGGATACAGCCAAACAAGTCGCCATTCCGATTTCCTGTCCTAATTGGGTATAACGCGATGGACTTGAAAAGCATTTAACTTCCATTAACGTGTGTAAAAGCGTCATCTCCAAAGTGGTATTGCTTCCTACTCAACATTAATGTCTATCCCCCCCCCACCCCACCCCACCCCACCCCGCCCCCGGTGAGACTGACATCACCATCTTCCAAAGAAAGCAAACTTAGAAGCAGAGCGGAAACAGAATAATCACCACTAGATCATTTGGCATGATTGTGCAAGAAAGACTCCTCAGTTCCTCCACGTCTCGGGATCTCGGCAAATAAGATGTCGGATCATTCCGTTGTGTCCCAGTGACTGTGCTCAGGTAGGGGACATGTGTCGGCGAGTGAGGCGTGACTCATTAGTGAGTCCTCCTGTTTGCCCGGTCAGTGTGAGGAAGACGATCAGACAGACTCAGTGGCAGCCATTTCTCTCTGTATTCTTGGCGACCGCACATAAACACAGTGACGTTCCTGTTCTCCAAGCCTGCCGGACGGGTTAAGTGCATGAGACTGCAATTGCTCAGCCCACAGAATCGTGCAGAAACCAGCCCACATCTTCTCATGTGAGTCCAGGCCTGAGTGAAGCAGCACGGAGGCGGGTGGAGCTCTAAAGGGCCGAGAGGAGCGACATACAGGTAAGCAGATCTGTCTAGAGGTGAGTACAGCTCAGAATCAGGCATAAAACTGGGCCGACAAGCAACAGCACGCAGCACCACCAACATGAAGCGGGCAGCACACCAGAGCTAGCGCTTAGTAAGCAGAGGTGTATGGCCAGGATGGAGGCCTGTGATGATTGGGGGCATTTCTTCTCCACCTGGTTTATATGGCGGGGGGTCATGAGAGCCCAGCTTTCTCACCTCAGCCTATCCTTCCACCCCCATTAATCCCCCTCCCCCCACTCAGCCCCTTAACAAGCAGCCAGGGGAGGCAGGCCACCGTAATGGGTCTCCTCTCCTCGGCGAACGGTCAGTAATGATGATAGCCCATAAATACGGGCTCCTTCCCTCCCATGGCGGTGAGGCTCAGCCAGCTCATCAGCAGGGCTATAGCTGCGAGCCCTGGGGCCATCGCTCTACGGCACGTCAAGGCTGAAACCAGGCACCAGACGGGACCTCAGGACAACAAGGTGCAATGAATATGCAGATGTGAGGATGGTTTTTCCTGAGCTGAGGACTCCCCCCCCCCAAAGGGGCCACCTACTCCTCTCAGGGTGTGAAAATGCGGCTTTGACACCGGAGACCCCATGACTCAGCTGGTGAGCCCCTGATGGTGGTGGCCCAGCCCACGACAGCGCGGCTCTATCTCCGGAGCTGTGAGAGATGTACACAGCTTGTGAGACAAACGGTCTTCATTTCACCCTGGTGCTTTCCGGCAAACCCCAAGCGCTGCTAAAGTGTGAAATTACTGCATTTTTAACCCGCCACCACCACCCCCCCCCCTGCCCACTCCCCACCTTAAGAGGCTGCAATCACAACACAAACAGCAGAGTG